ATCTACTTGTAGTATTCATGGGTACTACACACACACACAGTGCACAGACTTACAAGCAGACAGAACACCATAAAAATACAAGTTAAAATTAATAATAAATACATAAGATTTGAGTAACCATATTTAGTAAAATACTATAACCATCCCAATTAAAGATCAAAGATCATCAGATTGTATTTGATAGGAACAAGGGAATAAATAAACAGATCAAAGACCAAAAATTGTGCTGCCAACAAAAAACAAATGTCAAGTCTAAAAACACAGATAAAACTAAAAGGTGGTAAAACTGGAATTGATGTATTATAGTTACTATAATAGCTGCTGTAGTTTTCAGCTGTATTTTACTAAATTCAGACTGTGTGTACAGCTTTTTTATAGTGGTTACACCTCAAGAAAGCTGTAATGTGATGTGTTGTATGTGAAGAATAACAAGAACTCTAAAATCTTTGTAGCAGTGAAAGCCAACACTTTGTAGATGTTCAACCAACTGAGGACGATTATCAATGCTAATCTGGTAGTTCAGAGTCTATGCATTACTAAACCTTACCCACAAAGCACAATTCAGGATATATTCAGACTTGGTACACAAAGAGCCTAAGCTGAGTGTATCATATATTTATATAATCATTAAAATGTTTAAAATATTCATCTTAGCTTTTGTTTATACAGGATCAGACAGAAGGCCAGATGTGGGCACACAAAAATCATATTGCATTTTCTGCTGTACAAAGCACAGCACTACAGTCAGATCAGGTGTTTAGAAACGCAACTGCAGTGACTTGGGAGAAAATCTGAGCTGGCAGAAAGCAGAGGAAGGCATTCTGAGATTAATGCATCAGGTCCAGACAGAGATTTAAAAAAACAGATCTGTATGATTCTGGATGGAAGCTACAGTGGGTACAATAATTGGGTGCAATGAGGATTTAAACTGTAGGTCCATATCTAAATAACTTCTTCCCTAAAAGACTAGCAAAAAAAGAAAAAACCAGAAACAACCACATCAGAAAATTTTAGCTTTCCAACAATATTTCACAGAGTAGGAGTATTGACATGTACTGGAAGATATTCATTCCTCTGCTGCAGGCAATCATCAAGCTGTTCTGCTTATTCTCTTCATTGGAAGCAAGAAACACATACCTTATAAGTAGAAAAACAGGGTGTTACAGGGAAAGCAAAAACATATCAGAAAGCCGTTACAGAGTTCTCAAGGTATGGATGCTGTTATTTCATTTCAAGCAGAACTACAAACAAAACTTAAACCACCAACTGAAGAGATATAGACCATTCCTCCCATGTATGCAATTATAGTAATCTTATGGCAAGTACTGGTGAATTTATTATTTATTATCTCATTCAATTTTCTTAAATTGTTATGAAAACTAAATATATACTTGAAATATACTAATAATAGTAGATAGCAGCAAGATGATGCTCATCTGTGTCTTGTGACAGTCACCAAACCTTCAGCTGACAGATATGATACCACAGTTGAAGTAATTTATGACACAATCTGAAGGTATGTAGTCTATATAACATCAGATTTTCATTGTCTTTAATACCAGAATTATATATATATATAATATGCATGCATGCTGTGGGATGGTCTGTATGTCAAATGTGTTGCTGATTGGTCAATAAATAAATCACTGATTGGTCAGTGGCCAGGCAGGAAGTATAGGCGGGACAAGGAGGAGAAAAAAACTGGGAAGTGGAAGGCTGAGTCAGAGAGACACTGCCAGCCGCCATGATGACAAACAGCATGTGAAGATGCCGGTAAGCCACGAGCCATGTGGCAAGGTATAGATTAATGGAAATGGATTAATTTAAGCTGAAGAAAAGTTAGCAAGAAGCCTGCCATGGCCATATAGTTTGTAACCAATATAAGTCTCTGTGTTTACTTGGTCAGGTCTGAGCGGCTGTGGGACTGGCAAGTGAGAGAGATTTGTCCTGACTGTGGGCCAGGCAGGAAAACTCTAGCTACATATATATATATATATATATATATATAAACATAAACATACACACATACATACACAAACATACACATCAAATGGTAAACAGGGAGATATACATGGACTGAGATAGACAGATAATCAAAATCAATGTGAACAATTTCAAATGGAAATTTTTATTTTATTATCTTATTTTTTTGTTTTATTTTATCATCTTGTTTTGTTTTATTATATTATTTTACTTTTTATTTGGGGACTTTATTTTCATTTACTTTTGATTTGATTTTGAGGGACTTACGTATCTCAGCCTGGACTTGCTGTGTCACAAAGGTAATCTTGTATTTCTGATCCTCTTGTCCCCATGTCCTAAGTGCTGAGATTACAGGCGCAGGTTGGCATCATGGCTGGTTTATATGGTGCTGTGCACGGAACCCAGGGTTTCACATATGCTGGCGAAGCACTCTACCCACTGGGATGCATTTAAGCCCTGAGTTTCACTCCTTTGCTCTCTCCTAATAAGTTCATTTTCCTATCTTAGAGCAATCACAAATGCCTTTCAACATAGCATGTTCATCTTACTTATCATGTAGTACTTCTAAAAGGAATAGAAAATCACTTTAAACCTATGATGATAAGCAATGCCATGACCATAGCATAGACTGGGTAGCCATTCATGGTCCTCTGCAGAAAGTCAGTTAGGACAGCAGTCTCTCACTGGACAGTTCTACTGAGTGTGCGAATTTAAGTATCTATTACTGACAGGCATTGTGCCAACCTGCTCTTGTGAATCCCACAGACACAAATGAGTATTTACTATAGGAAATGTGTTGAAATGGCAGTAGATGTGCTGGGGAACTGGATCCATGAGATGGAAAAGACAAGTAGGAGTTAGAACAATGAGTGGGTCATGGTTTTATATTAAGAACATAGATTTGCCAACCCAGAGAATGGCTAACAGCAGACAACAAACAAATACACACATAAAACATGGGGATTGTACAGAAATTAAGGAAGTCCCCTGACAAGTCTTTCACATGTATCAAATACTCTTTGAGGGTCTAAAAATGCCTAGCAGTCTTTTCGGCCCTGGAGATGAACTTTAGCAGATGAAACAGACAGAAATCTCTGCTTGATAAAGCACACAATCTAGGGGGAGATGGATTTTAGAACTAAATGTGCCAAATGTCAGATGTTGTTAAATCACTTAGAGGCAAAGGAAAGCAATGTGGAATTACATGGCATGGCAAAGCAGGGATCACAGTTTCCGAAGAGGGATCCTGGAGGCCCTCAGTGAGAGGGTGACATTTAAAGAAGACTGGCCACACAAGGAGAGTGAGCATAAAGGTATCAGGCTGTGTGACAGCAAGAGAAAAAGACACTTTGATGGGAAAAATTGTGTGCACCCATTTTAGAAGCATGGTGGCACATTAGTCATTGACCTTCTAGAAGGGGCATTGTTGTGTAAATTCAAGGTACCAAAGAAAATAAATAAAACTTAATGTCTTACCAGACATAAGTTAAAAGCAGTCTATTTTTATATACTAAGCTATATTTGTAAAATGCGAGTGGCTGATAAACATTGTAAGACAAGATATTTCTCTGTGCCTTTAAAATAATATTTAAACATTTGAAATAAAGTGTGCCTACTCAAAATGGAAGGGTCTCAATTACATATGTATTTCTATATAAATTGATCTTTTTATATTTAAACTTTAATAAGTAAAAAATTATTTAGCTTCTAAGTAGGGTCAATTTTAAAAAATCATTTTTGAAATTATTAAAAGTTGATCCTATACTGAACTATTTTAAATTGTATAATAAAGAAGCAGTTACTTCTTTTACAAAATATAAATACTTGAGTGCATGAGCATCATCTGAGGTTTTATAACAATACTATAGATCAAGTTTAGAAATCACATTCTTTTTAGAGAATATTTTAATTATGACAATGTCAGCAAATTATATATTATTTACACACTGTCAGGTACTCTTAATCAGTTATATGCATAACACTAGTGTGTAAGCAAGCAAAGAATAGTCTACTGCCGATACATGCTTCCTGTTAAATGATAATGATGCAGGATGAGTGTGTGTGTGTGTGCGTGTGTGTGTGTGTGTGTGTGTGTGTGTGTGTGTGTGTGTGCGTGTGTGTGTGTGTGTGTGTGTGTGTGTGCGTGTGTGTGTGTGTGTGTGTGTGTGTGTGTGTGTGTGTGTGTGTGTGTGTTCCTAAGGACTTACTATAAGGCCTCATACATGCCAGGTAATCATGCACATTCTTGACACTGAGCTACAATCTACCATTTTTTTTCCTTCACTTTTCACTTTAAGACAAGTTGGTTTGTTTTTTTCTTCTAAATTATCCAGCTTGGCCTTGAACTACTTCTGTCCTCTAGGCTAGATCTTGAATTTTCAGTCCTCTTACTTTAACCTCCCAGGAGCTGGGATTAGAGACTTCTCTAGCAGATTATCATGTGGAATTAAGAATCTTCTTACTGAGAATTACTCAATCATTTACCAAAAAAAAAATATTAAGCTAAACCTTCAAAAGCAATACAGTTCTATCATAGACAATAGAATACTAACCTTTAGCATAATTCTTAAGGGTGTACCTTAGCCAAAATGTAAGTTGTAAAGTATTCAAAGTCTGAGGGGGTCAGTGAATTGGCGATACATTTTTGAACAGTCTGACTGACTCAATGTTATTTAATACTAACTCCTTAAAATTCACAAAAACCATCTCTTTTAGGGCCAAGTGTGTGTATCCTCACACATACATAGCCGAGTATTGTGTGTAGACATGAAAATGACTGTGTACATATTTGCATGAATATGTTTACTTTCCAAATTAGCTTACATAATTTTCTAAAATTATAATTGCACCAAATAATTGAATAGTTAATTTTATTTATCAGTATGAGCTTTTATGTTGACCTTGCTGTACATGTGTGAAATTGAATTCTGAGACACAAAGTATGTTTGATTTAAAATGTACAAAACAGAGGAACTTTGGTGTTAACTAAAAAGAATTTGTTTTTCCTTTTTAAACAGCTTGCAGACCAGGATTCTATAAAGCCTTTGCTGGGAACACAAAATGTTCCAAATGCCCTCCACACAGTTCAACCTACGTGGAAGCAACTTCTATCTGTCAGTGTGAAAAGGGTTACTTCAGGGCAGAAAAAGACCCACCTTCTATGGCATGTACCAGTAAGTCTACACATTTCGTATTAGAAAATTCTGTTTCTAATCATCTTGTTCTCTGTTTTAAGCTTTTAAAAATAAATAAATTGGCAAAATCCTGTACCAATAAAGGTGTCTTGAATAATAATAAAATGCTCTCCTCATCATAGCTCCTTTTCAAGCAGTTGCTAAAAGTGTGAAATATTTCCTTTTTAAGCCTTATATAGATCCTTGCTATCCAAGTACCTACCATATTTTGAGGCAGTGCAAAATTTCCCTGGCTAAAATTTGTCTTGAAGAAATTAAAAACTTACAAGTAAAACTCTTCTTTCCTTTACACAGTTTTAGACGTATTGTTAGAGAAATATGAAATTCATCACTTGAGGGAGACTCCAGAGGAAAACTTTAATCCAGTCTTTGTGACTGACTTGCAGATGAGCTTGGGTTTCCTCAACATCTGGCTTTAAAGGAGGGTACTTTTGAGTTTGTACACATTTCTCTCCTCTCTCTCTCTCTCTCTCTCTCTCTCTCTCTCTCTCTCTCTCTCTCTCTCTCTGTCTCTGTCTCTCTGTCTCTCTTCTCTCTCAGTAGAATACTCAAATTAGATGTGAAGGTCATTTCAACAAATGCATGCAGAATTTTAAAATGATTTGTTTTCTATTATTTAAGAATTGTGAAGTATCTATACATTTTAAAAAGTGAAAATAATAACATCACTAAAATAGGCAGAAATGGAATGTCACTTTTTAGTTTAAACTATTTAGATTCATAAACAAGATATTATAGGTGACAATTTGCCTTTTTTGATGATGAATAGGTGATTAAATGTTAAATTGAGAATTATATAAGTGGTTGAAACGATAACGTCTCAATTTTAGGTTTTCCTGTTTTTGAAGCATCCCTTTTAAAAACTTCATTATTTTTCATTCTTTGAGAATTTCATACATAGTTATAATGGGATATTATCACATTCCCCAATGGGACTATGCCCCTCTCTAACTTCCTATGTGCTCTAATATATCACCATCTTAACTTTGTCATTTTCTTTTGTTTCTTTGTTTGTTTCTTCTTTCTTTCCTTCCTTCCTTCCTTTCTTCCTTCTTTCCTTCCTTCCTTTAATTTGATAACCCACTATGTCCAATTAGTCTTGCCCACATGTACTTGGGTTAGGTCCCATCCATTGGAACACTGGACAACTACCAATGGCCACAAGCTCAAAGAGGAACCAACCTTGTTTGGTGCAATGTGGCTTGTGATTTTGCCAGTTTTATCAGTGCTTTGGATTGACTCTTATTTATTTTCTATTCTGAATGTTGATATAATAAATTCAAATTTTATCTTTAAAATGCTTCTAGTTCACTTTCTCACTGCAACAATGCAAATACCTTGGAAGAGCGGCTATATTTGGTTGCATCTACTGTTCACTTTGAATTACTTCTTTATTGCATTTAGATTTATGATACGTACCCTACTGTGTTCAGTTTGCCTTCTGCCACTTGAAATAACTATATCACAAAAATTTACCAAAGATCCTCATCTCCATTTGCATTAGAAACATCTTTGTCCTGTTATTCACTTCACTTGATTCTGTTGCACACTGTTCTTGAAACTGTATGTGACTTGTCCTAACCTTCTGATACATTAAAGACACCATGGCCCAAAGACACTCAGGGAAGGGATATATTTATTTCAGCTTGTTAGGGTTAGTCAGTCATTGAAAGAAGTCAAAGCAGGAATGCAATCTGTATTTTGAAGCAGAAACCATGCAGTAATGCTATTTGATGGCTCTCGCCCATGTCTGTGTTTAGCTGGCTTCCTTATATAGCTCAGGATCACCTTCACAGGGAAATGGTGCCATTCACGGTAGGCTGGACCTTCCTTTGTCAATTAACAATCAAAATAATCCCCCATAGCCATGCTCAAGGACAAGGTGATCTAGACCATTCCTCAAGCTAGATGTTCCTCCTAGATGACTCTAGGCTTTTGTCAAGTTGACAAAGTTAATGAGGGCATAACTTTCAGTCTGAAACATTTGCTATTTCCATTTCACCCTCCTAATCTACTGTTTTATGTTATGACACTGGTAGTTTTTCTTCTTCCTCTGTTAGATGTTGGCTTTATTCATGTCACTTGTTTGCCTTGTCAGTACATTCTTACTCTCTCCCATAGTTAGAACTGTCATCTGAAGGTAGATAATGCTGATAATTTTGTATAGTCACAGTCTTGTATTCTGAGGACCAAAGTCTTCTTGCTTGAGGGTTAAGGAATCTGATCACCTGTAAACCCTACAGAAAACTGCCCACTCCTCTGACCGGCATCTGTCATGGTACCTTTGCAAACGTTCTGGACTTCAAAGATGCCAAGTTTGTTTCCTTTCTTAGTAACAGAATGTCCACAATCTGAAGCATTCTCTCCCCTAGGCTTCTTAGGGACTTTTACATTCCACTTTCCAGGGTCACGTATCAGCTCTTAGGATGGTTATTTTCTGACCAGTCTTTCAAAAATGGCACCTGTCCCACTTAATCTTTTCTGTCATCGTGTCTTACATTGTATGCATTATGCTATTCTTTAACATCCTGGCTTTATTTATGTACCTGCTGCACTCTTTATTGTCATTTTATCGCATCAGACTACAAGAGCCATGGGACCAGTGATGCTTTTTGCAGACTGCAACCTCACCGCTCAGAATAGTACCTGGCATACAGAAGGGCCTTAATATTTGATGAACAGAGAAACTAATCAGTCCAAGCTTAACTTGACAGATCCAGTTTTATTACTCTCGACCTTCACTTGCTCATCCATCCTTGTTCTGTTTTCCTTCACTTTATGAACCTTCATTTATCCATGCTTTCAAGACAGAAGCCCTAATTGTACTTCAAACCAAGAACATCCAAGGTCAACACTCATCTCATCTTTCTCCCTCCAACATTAATTGTATCAAGATCCTTGAAATAGACCTAACATTCACTTACACTAAAAACAACCTTGCCAACTTAGACATATATTATTAAATTAAATTATTGAAATCTTTTTCAGTCAATTGTAAGTCAAAGATAGTAAGAATAAACAAGTAAAATATGAAATATCTTCTCAGATATTTTAATATATTTCATACACTCTAAACTTTATTTCTCAGATGATTCATTAATGGAAACTCTGTACTTTCCAAGGGGATCTGTGGTTAGTGGTGCACACCTCTAATCCCAGCAGTCAGAGGCAAAGGCAGGCAGATATCTGTGAGTTTGAGGCCAGCCTGGTCTATAGTATAAGTGTCAAGGCTACACAGAGAAACCCTGCCTCCAAAAACAAAACAAATAAACAAAAAACAGACAATAAAACAAAAACCAAACAATAACAACAGTAAAAGTACTTATGGAACAGTAAGGAATAGACATGATACATGAAATGTTAATACATAAATGAGAGCAAGGTCAGAAAAAAACAGTATAAATCTATGATCCTAGCATTTTTGCTTTTCCTCATGATTTTAAACGGTCAGGACTTTGCTTCTTTAGCACAACTGAACAGGTGCTGCAGGATTTACCCATTTAATGATCATTTACATTGCCTATTTAAAAAGGTTCCAACTGAATGCAAATCATGCATGCACACACCTCTATTGCACACCAGTACATATACTGTTTGTATTGTGATTGTCTGAACATGTAATCAAATACCCTGCTAGTAAAACTGTTTCTGGCAACTTCATTCTTAATACACAGGAAAATATCATCTCTTTGTATCTGATATACAATGACAGTGATTGGGAAGGAAGTACACAACTTCAATTTACTTTTGCTCTAAAGCTAACACTGTGAAGCGTGGTTTCATTATTGCTGGAATAATTGGCCACTTCAGAGCGTCATTATTCTCTCATTCTTATTTTGAGCACAATAAATGCTGTGTGCGGTACAGCAGGTGAGTTCCCTCCTTTCAGCTGCTCTAATCAGGACCTATACTTCCTGGATTGTTACAGAAGGCTCAATCCAATCCCTCTGCTCTGCTGGCTTCCTCCTCATTTCTAAGCCTTCTTTTTATTTTTTTTCTAGTACTCTTTTCCCAAAACTCAAATTCTGCATGGAAGATATCATACTTGGGTCTTGATTGTTCACATCACAAACTAAAGCACAAAAGCAAAGGTGATGTTAGGTGACCCACTCTAAACAATTTTGTAGCAGCCACAATTGTGCAGAAGCCAGAAAGCAAGAAGAGAAACAAAATTAGTTTTTATTACCTCTAGCAGGCTTCATTGTGTTCTGTATTGGTTTTTGCTATAGAAAGCATCTCTAAATATGTACTGAGTTCATTGTAATATTGTAATTTCAAATATTAAAATGACCCTATGCTACAGAATAGGCACCTGCATTAATCAATCTCAGCTTCACCAGTATCCAAGATGTCACCCGAGTTTCATGAAATAGTCCAGGTACAGTCACTTTAATAGATATTTCAGCAGAGTTTCATTCACTAAATTATCTGGAAAATCTATTTTTATTGGAAGAATTATTAGGAGGAGAGTCTGCTGATGTTGGAGAATCAGTAAAAACTTGTTACCACTGTGAATCTCTCTCTGGCCTCTACAGTGAGACTTGAAGAAAAATGTCCCACTCGATATTATCAAATTGCACATAGGAGACTAATTATCCAAAAGCACCCATAGTTTCAAAGAAAACATTCATAATTATCCTTAATGTTATGTGTTTCTAGGAAGATTTATTAATCTTTGTTAATTAATCATTAATCATTTAATCATTAATTAATGTATGCTTGAATCTACTCACTGTTTTGCTTTGCTCTGCCAAATGATGATAACTTAATCCATCTGTATTTTTGTCTTCCATTTCTAATGGATGCTATTTTAAGTAACTGAATCAAGTAAGAAAAGGGCTCAATGTAAGCGTGCACTTTTCTTTCACTGTAGTAGGTAAATTGTGTAACACCAAAGACCTAAGAACAACAACTCACTTTCTAGTTTATATTTTCCCATTTATTCTTGATGTGAGCAGCTACAATACATTTCTGCAATT